AGGAGAAGAAGAAGAAGAAGGAGAAGGAGAAGGAGAAGGAGAAGGAGAAGGAGAAGGAGAAGGAAAAGGAGAAGGAGAAGAAGAAGAAGAAGAAGAAGAAGAAGAAGAAGAAGAAGAAGAAGAAGAAGAAGAAGAAGAAGAAGAAGAAGAAGAAGAAGAAGAAGAAACACTTTGATGAAAAAAATGTGAATTCTAGTTTCGAGCTGACATTGCTGGCATGTCATTCACCGACCTGATGGTCTGACCCAGGCCTCAGCATGACCACAGCTCCGGGGGCAGTGGGGTCGAATCTTGAGACACACACGGCCGCTTTCTCTGCTACCGGATTCTGTGACCGCAAAAAAAACAGGGAGTATGATCAACAAACAAATCGATTGCCACGTATAAGACTCCACTATAGGTCATTTTGAAAAGTGGCGAATGATGGAGTTTAATACTGGGCAGAAGAGTCATGGAAAAGGATGCACAGAAAAGTAGGAAGACATGGAGTGACATCAAGCGACTCGCCCAGGATAGGGAAAGGTGGAAAGTGTTTGTTCGTGGTCTATATCCTGATCCAGGGTGAAAAAGGCAAGGATGATGATGATGATGTCAAAATAAACAGGAGCTGATAATGTGTATTTATTGGAGAAGAAGAGAACCTCACTGTGTAGTTAACCGTAATTCAATCCGATGGACTCAAGCCCACGTCTGAGTGTGACTATACAAATACTACATAAGACAAAACTTGGCCGTTTAGAAAAATTACTCTCACCCTGCAGGACTTGGCTGCTCCATTTTTCAACAGAGGATTCGCAAAAGGCTTGGCAGCAGCTGAAACGGAAATAGAAAAGGTACCAGGGCAGAGTTGTGGGGTTCAGATATTCGCTTCATTTACAAATAAATATGCAGACACATTAGGTCAAATTGACTGCATGGTGTGAGACTCCGCCAAACGCCATTTGAAAAAGTGACACATTTTTTAAAGTTTTAGTAAGGTTTTACGGTGCTCACAACTGCATAAGGTCATATGAGCACTAAGGGGTGGATGTCAACCAAGAAGTCCAAACGGGGAATCAGCTTACTCTGCTCACCTCTCTCTAGCCTCAACAGCAAAAAATTTGCTTCGAAAATAGCAGTTCACAATACAAGAGAGTGACAAACATAAAACAGAAGTAGAGGAAAAATGACAATAGTAAGGATGAAGTATAAAAAATTTTTTTAAAAAAAAGCAGCAGTTCCCTGTATGTTGTTGCGGCACAGCATGAGCATGACACTGATAAATCAACCCATTTACAATTTTACTGTGCATAAGAACATGTTAATATCCCCCCCCCCCCCCTTTGGGAATGGCCTAAAGACAACATCAGTCAATAGCACTGCCCCGGGGAGGGAAGATGTGTGACGAACTCTTACACTGAGCAGTCGACATACTGTCCCCGTCGTTTTATACAAGAAAAATTCTGAAATTATGCAAAATGAGCCAAAAAATGTGAAAGTATGCGACTCTGTTAACAAAGAATGATAAAGGAAAATAATATGAAATTATGCCCCAAAAATGATCAAATTTTGCTAAATTATGCGGGGTGCATAAAACCACGGGGACAGGACATAGTCACTACCCTAGAAGTACAATGTTCAATCTGCTCAGTACCTATAGTTTTGAGAAATTTGAAGTTTAAACATTTGGAGTTTCACAACATGTCAAGCTTTTTTAAATTGAAATTCTTTGAAACTCTTGACAACGACTGAACAATCTTACGATTTTGATAGAGCAGATAGTACATTTGGTTTCTGACCTCACAATCTCAGTGACTCAAAACGGGCAAAAATGTCAGATAGAAATTTGTAATTCTAAGGTAGCGATATATCCCGGTAAAGAAACAAACAAAATCCCATTGAAATGGACAGACGAGAAAATCTTAAAAGAAGACAACTGTACGTTAAGCTCAGAGAAGACAACAATTTATTGATCTCCATAAAGAGAAATTTGCTGCAGCATGGTAAACACACACAGGAACATGCACTCATCAACACACACACACGCACACACACACACACACATCTACTCTCTCTCTCTCTCTTTCTTTTACACACTTACAAACATAGACACACACACAGACGAATAGTAAACAGATGGACATACAAAATAATATTAATCTCGCACAACTGACAATGACTGAATATCTCGTCTTTTTGACAATAAGGATGAATTTTTATACCTACTGGTATACCTTCACTATCATAGAACATTCAGTTTTGCTGATAAAAGGTTTAAACATTGCCCTAGTCGCACCATCAACCTACACAGATTTTTCTTCACACTGGACACAACAGCTTCAGCCGAGCAAGAGCCGGCTGAGAAACATTTTCCCGACTTGAATTGTTCCTCGGTCAACTCCGACAACACCTGGACAGACACAAAAGTTTGTTAAATAAGGAATAATAAATGATATAAATACGACAAATGAATCTACTTTCAGATAAACAGCAAAATCAGCTTGACTCCTTATGATTTGCCCATCAAGTGCAATCAAAGCACCC